CACTAGAGCATAAAACTGCACAGTTATTTATTAAGTAAATGTTTTATCACTCTTTTGCTCCTACAACTTGATGAACATGAGTTTACTCAGATACAGAAGGTGAAAGAGTTTTGCTGAATATTAAGAAAGTTCAGGATGAAATTCTTGAATAAGAAAATGAATATGAGTTACACTGAAAGTCCATATATGAACTGGAATTTTCCATCTTTACATACATACGTACAAATGAGTACACACACACACACACACACACACACACACACACACACACACACGGGTCTACTTCACTCTATCCACATCTGGTAATGATGTGGGCATAATGAAAAGATTTCAGATTCCCTCCAGAAAGCCCTTAGGCTACAAGCAAAGCATCCTACATCTAATAAACCCATCTTAGCTAGATCTCCCATATGGCAAAGCCCTGTTTTGCTTTATTCCAACAAATTGGTCCATGGATTCTTCTCACAGCTGTTGCTACTATTGTTTATGATCCATTGAATCCTGGCAGCACTCCAGAGACCAATGTGTAACAGATTTAGGATATCCCTTCACCGAGCTGTGTGCACATGAAGTGACGTCACCTGTGAGGAGGCCTGAACACCCAGGAAATGTAAGGCAGGACACAACTAAGGGAGCAAGGGCACGAAGAAATTGAATCACAATTGTCAGGACACCGAGTGTTAGGAGGAAAGCCAAAGTTGGTGTCTAAGACAGAGTACCAGCTAGGAGACAGATGCTGAGTAAGCTAGAAAACAAATAAATATTTCGTTCTGAGAATTTCCCCTCCATTATATGCCATCTCAGCTTGGTTTGACATAAGAAACATTGGTATCCCTGTGCTGGATCTGAGCTGGGGTGTCCTCTGGCTGTGGGGGACCATCCTGCTGGGGTAGAAAGCTGGGCGACTTTCTAAAGCAGTTTTTCCCTGCTAACACAACATTTAGAAAGTTTACTATACATGCCATATAAACACTACCAATCTGTAAAAGGAAACAGGCTTTTCTTAACTATGACTCCAGTTCACTGGCTTTGTATATTCTGGAAGTTTCCTCCTTGATTTATAACTTCCATACATAACAACAGTTACTTTTTTGTTTTGCTATGACACTCCTAGAATTAATGTATCTTGTCAATATACTAAAAAATAAGCAAGTTAAACTGAAGTGATGCTTCAAAAATAAGGCCTGTTTAATAGTAAATCTATAGATCAAATTCATGTGTTTAAAACAACTTGACAGTCACCACCAAGAAATGGATCTGGAATTAAAAGTTAGCAATATTAGCAAGCTATCAGTCATTACTACTAATATGTAGAGATAATCTCAACTCTTCCAATTTGTCTACATGAGTCCCAAGGACCCAATTACATAGCACTTTGTGTTAACCAACATCATCATCAGGCTTTCAGAGGTTTCCTCCCCTAGAAGTTTCCTTCTCCATCCCATTTTCCTTTCAATCTCAGGCAAGTACTTCATGAAATTTAGAAGAAAAGACTCTGCCTGTTCTGTATTGATTTGAGGTTCCTGTCTGCAGCTTAGGGGCTAACTCCTCCTCTTTGCCCTCTTTTTCCATGGTCTTTCCTTTAGAGCTTTCCTCTTTTCTTTTCTTTTCTTCTGGACTTTCCCCTTCCCCCATGCTTTGAGTATTAATTTGAAAGCTCTCTCATTCTCTACACTCTAAGGAAAAAGAAGAGGGTTTTAAAAAAGGAGAACAGGCTCAGGAGAGCAAGCGACCAACGAAAAGATAAGAACTTGGAAGCTCCTTAACCTATGACCCTCAGCTTCTGTTCCTGTGAGAGCCAGAAATGGCTGCATATTCTAGAAAGGCTAAAATGAAAAAGACAATGAAGGAGAGAGACTACTGGAAGGAAGATCCACTTGGACTTCTTCCCTGCCTTCCTTACAATGTATCTCCAGTAGTCCTCACTCTCCTGGAAGGGATGGAATCCATTGAAGAGTTTTTAGAGTACATAGAAGGGATAAATGCTATGAAGTAAGACCCCACTTACAAAAGCAAAACCCAAACACCCCCACCAGCATGCACACACCCAGACACATGCACTTCCCCAGGGCCTTTTCATTCATTGCTCAAGTGTTTTCCACTGTACCCCACCCACTCTTCCAGGCCAGCACATACCACCAGGCCCGCCTCACACCTGAACTTCTGGTTGAGCCAGAAGAGCACTGGAAGTCTGGGGGTGGGGCCAGGAACCCAGCAAGGCTTCAGGCAGTAGGCAAGGCCACCAGCCACTGTCTGCACAGGGCTGGAAGCTCATGCTCTCTAAAACCACCCCTGGAAAGTTGGGTAGGAGGGGCAGCTGGCAAGGCCCAAGACAATTTGGGTGGATACCAGGAGGCTTCACCCATCTTCCACCACGTTCTAGCCCCGGCTACAATGTTAGAAGGTGCCAGAACGTCCTAATTCCAAGTCCCAACTTCCGGTTAAACCAGAACCTGGACATTCGGAGGAGGACCCAAGAATGTGACCAGCCAGGTGTAGGGACATTGCTGCCACAGTTCTCGTCACTGCTTCCATGCATGCATTCCAAGCCATCTAATAGTGTTGTTAGAGAAACACTCGGAAATTGTGCTTAAAAAGAAAATCTTCTGTTCTCGTCTTTGATATGAACAATCAATAATGACTGTCATTTGTTGAACACTTCCTACACATGGGACTACACTCTGTGTAATAGGTCACTTAATCCTAACAACCACCCTAAGCAGCAGGGACTGTAATTATCTCTCCTTTACATACTATACAACTGGAACTTGGATAAAATAACTGAATTCTGGCTACTAAAAAGACAGATGCGGAATTTTATAGCAGATAAAGCTGATGCTTCACATGTCTAGCCAAATTGTATAGAAAACCAAAATTCTATACATTTGACAACATTCTTCCTGGATAGGACTTTAAGGATCTTTGACCTCATTTGGTTAAGGAATAGAATTCAGTAGCAGGAGGCACATAGTTTACCTCTGTCTGTCAAGGTGCCTGAGGCCAGAAGTAGATTGAAGAAATCAGATAAGCAAGTGGCAGAGATAATCCACTTTCAAAACAGAATTGGAGGGGGCGGGCAAGCAAGTGTGCATTCTTGGCTCAGTCTCCCCAGAGCTGACTTTTCTCAGGTAAAAGCATTTCCCTGCTCTTTCAGGGACAACCAAAAGATGAAATGGCAGGGGTAGGTGATTCGAAATGAGCCAGCAAGAAAAGACTTTTCCTGACTAATCCTGGTGACCTGGGTTTGATCCCCAGAACTCATCTAAGGGTAGAAGGAGAGAACTGACTCCAGAAAATAATCCTTTGACCTCTGCATGCACACCATGGCACACACACCTACAACACATCATGCAAGCAAACCCAGACACTAATAAAAATGAAATAAATGATTTTTTTAAGGAAGAAAAAAACTGGAAATGTATCCACCATGACTTCAGTCACAGCTCCAAATAGACAAATGCTAACACATGATGTGGTAATATCAGCCACCTACTTTTGAATTTTCCATGAATCATTTTTCTGAGAGATACAAACTTGAGCCAAGGAGAAGCCTAATAAAGTACTAGGAAAATTCTGAGAACTTTGTAAAGAAAAAAATCAATGAAGACAGAGTCAACAGTACCTTCAAGTCAAAATGGTTCCTAGCTCTTAAAATAAGAACACTCGCCAGGCAGTGGTGGCACACGCCTTTAATCCCAGCACTCGGGAGGCAGAGCCAGGTAGATCTTTGTGAGTTCGAGGCCAGCCTGGTCTACAGAGCAAGATCCAGGACAGGCACCAAAACTACACAGAGAAACACTGTCTCGAAAAACCAAAAAAAAAAAAAAGAACACTCATAATTTTATAGTAGTAGCAACTATGAATGTAGCATAATAGCTCGTGTGTGTGTGTGTGTGTGTGTGTGTGTGTGTGTGTGTGTGTGTGTGTGTGTGTGTGACAGTTTTCTCCTTCCACAGAGACCTTAAGACTTCTCATGCTGATGATTTTGGGGCATTAAAACTGAAAGATTCCAGTTGACCCAAATTGCTCTCAGCACCCAGGAGCCTCCTTCTGGCAGTTAGTTATCAAAGGAGTTCCCACTTCTGGAGAGCAATGAGTAACAAGAGCAGGATCTGAGTGCTTACCCTCCCATTCCCTTAAAGCTTTCATGCAGCTGAGTTTCAGACTGTCTAAGTTCACAGCAGCATCCCTTCCTTAGCCCTATGGATACTCTGCTACCCAATAGCCTTGTGTAAAATCAGGATGAAAACTCCCAGACTATGACCGCTCCAATCTCCATCAAAAACAGCAATCATAGTCAGGTGTGGTGGTACACACCTTTAATCCCAGCACTCAGGAGGCAGAGGCAGGTGGATCTCTGAGTTGGAGGCCAGCCTGGCCTACAGAGCAAGTTCCAGACAACCAGGGCTACACAGAGAAACCCTATCTCAAAAAACAAAACCAACCAAACCAAACCAAAA